GAGACATCTTGTATCCAGCAGGAATACTTGCATTTGCATATTCATTCATTCTTGTTCCAAGCAGACTATTGTATGTTGTAATACATGTCTGGAGGGGATCTTTAAGGTACTTTAAGGCAGAGGTGTAGACTCCTCAGGTGTAATCGATTCAAGTAGTCTTTTGGTTATTGTTAACACTTACTACTGTTATTTTTCTACCTTTTCCCTTTTTTATTCAGTTTTTACTGATGCATGAGTTTGTTTCGATGTCTGTTTTTGTTCTGCTGCAAGCCAAACTTCAGGCAGGACAATAAACACTGAACTGAGATCTTGAATGAGCGCTTTAAATGTAATTATTAATATTCGGACTAAATTGACCTTATAGACGTGATTGATAAATAACTGACCTACAATTAACTTATTAAGTTAAATAAAAAGTATTGTGACACAAAAGGTAAAATTAAGAGCAGGCACCATAAACAACAGTAATAAACAAACAAACAAACAAAGGTAAATTCCACACTTTACCAAGGAAACATTTTTAGTTCAAGACATTTTAATTTGCCTGTTACTCTACATATCTTACAGTTCACACAGTTTATAAGAATAGATTAATTTGGTTAAACAATTTTTGCTGATTATTTTACTCTGTAAAAATACATTATCAATTCATTTTCTGCTGTAATTATGTGTCACACGGTTGGATGCAGGAGAGCAAAGAGAGGGTCCAATAAAATATAAACATTGTGGGATGACACTGAATGACACCATTTCAACTTACTGACAGTCAGTACAATATATTATTTTCCGATTCCAGTAAATAATGCAAAAACAAAATATATAAGAGACAAAAATGTGCTACTAATGTTTTAAACAACAGTATAGCCTAAAAAAAAGAGTTCACCAAATACAAACAATGTTTGTTCTTTGGTGAATAATTATTTTCTATTTATATATACAACAAAAACATGATGATACTACAGTATTTCACAGTCTGTGACCAAAGATATCTGTCACGTTTCGTTACCAAAACATTACCCATATGTGTTTATTTGAACCTGAACATCCAGATGTGTGACTCATGCCGTCTGGAAGTTGTAACGGAACAAAGCGGACAATAAAAATGAAATAACTTATTCGTAGAACATAAATTATTATTTCCGTATCAAATATTTACACATGGTACCTTTGAATATCAGTGCATCACAGACAAAATTATGTAACTCCTCAACCAAAAAAAAAGATGGTAAGTAAACTGATGAGAAAGGTTTTTGGTGGGAATATACTGATGGTGGTTCAATCTGAAAAAAAAAAGGACTTTACATTCTCTCCAACACTCGAGTTCCCTGAGTCATAGGCCATGTCAAGTGCTGAAAATCTGCTTTTTAATCCTGGCAGACGTCACTCAAGACAAAAAAAAATACCTGAAGTAGTAGAAGAAACAAAGCCACAGAGGTGTAATCACTCAATTCAGCTAAGTCATCAAATGTTCTAAATTAAAACAGATAGACTATGTTTGATCTTTAGTACCTTGTAATGAATGTCACAATTACGTTGTTGGTCTGCCAGATTGCTTTAAAGATAGGGAGACTTCATATTTTTTAGATTTCAGTTGTATACTCTGCCTTGCATCTAACATCAGATATATTAAATGTTCATATTCATGTAACTTTTAATAGCTCTAGCAATATATGAAGGATGAACGTAGTGCTAGCGCCCCACTGGCCAAATAGTGGGATGTAAGGAGATTAAAAGTGGCACCAGTTGTTTTGCACTGGCAATAATTTTATAAGAGCAGATTAATTAATTTCCTTAAAGGTGGGGGTCAGCTAATGTGGAGAAATACTATGACAAATACCGTGATTTAGTGCGAACAACAACACAGAAAGTAATGTATTCAATGTTGCTGAAGTTGCTGCGGTGCCGCTTATATTGCAGAGAGGACGAGTTTCCCAGAGCCAGAAAACCAGCTCCAGACAGCGATCCTCACAACTCTCCTGCTACTACAGCTAACATCGCAACAACAATGTATCCTTGAAAACTAGAAAGTAAACTAAATATCTGTAGACGAGTGATTTAATGTTACACCCAAATCCTGACTGGAATAACAAGTAAGGGTTGTGTGGCTCAGTCCAATCCACTTTGTTTCCCATTTGCAGAGCCAGGGCTGCATTTTAAAGTACACACACAGCAGAAAGCCAGCGGACTGTGAGGAGATATTCGTTGAATTTGAAAATAAGTGAACTGGATTAGAGTCGCTTTCCCCACCTTTAAAGGCCCTGAGGATATGTATTGTGTCTCATTTAAAGGAATAGTTCAACATTTTTAGAAATGATCAATATATAAGATCAATACCACTCTTTATTATCTTAAATGACAAAGAAAAGCAGCAAATTCGTCCTTTCATTGAAAAAACTATATTTTACATTTTGCTTGAATAATGACAGAAACAATCCATTATTGAAGTAGCTGGCAGCTAATTTTCTTTCGATCGACTAATCAATTAATCAACTCTAGTACGGTACATATGAAGCTACAGTCAAGTTAGCTTAGCTTAGCACAAAGAATGGAATCAGAGGGAAACAGCTAGCATCTCAAGGTATTAAAATCTGCATCTCTAAAGCTCACTGAAGAAAACATTATATCTCGTTTCATGACAGGTTTAATACCTTTGGAAAAAAGCCATGGCTAGCTGTTTCCCCCCCGTTTCCAGTCTTTATGCTAAGCTATACTAAGCTAACTGGCTGCTGGTGACAGCTTCATGTTTACCATACAGACAGATGAGTGGTATGGATCTTTTCTTCTAACTCTCTGACAGAAAGAGAATAAGTTTATTGGTCAAAAGGTTCTTTTGAACTTTTGTTGATTTGGTGAAAAAGAGATGAGCTTATCCTATAAAACCATGAATAAGACATCACTGTGGTGCTGAAGTGGCTGTACAGGTTTTGTCAAGACAGGAATGTACAGAAAAAAGCAAGAAAAAACAAATGTTTGAGGTATTAAACATGACTTTGTTGGGTGCATGGTTGGGAAATGCATCCGTAAGTCTTCATCATCTCACGCATGATTTCTTTGTTTCATGTGCAGCTTTGCCACCACACAGACTGCAATGCTGTTTGATTCCCACTAAACAGAGAGCCTGACGAAGATGGAGGTCAACATAAAGCACTACACCTGCCAGATCTACTACCTACAGCCACAAGACTCCACCACCATGTCCTCGTACTGTTTGTAGACCACATTGTTTCCTGAGTCGATGTAGAGGATGCTGATGGGGCTGAGTTTGGACGGGGCGCAGCAGCTGGGCGGCATGTTGCTGGGGTTCATTGAATTCATCAGAGTCTGGATGATGGCGTGGTTGGTGGGCTCCAGGTGGGAGCGCAGGGGGAAATCACAAACCCCCTCGCAGTGGTACGCTTCGTAATCCAGTGGGGCGATGATCCAGTCGTCCCAGCCCAGATCTCTGAAGTTGACGTGCAGCGGCTTCTTGCTGCACCTAGATTTGGACTTCTTTCCGTGTCTCTTCCCGTGGCGGGTTTTTGACGCAGTCGTCCTCCTTCTCCTGCTCGCTTTGGTGCCTGGGCCCCTCTCTTTGGCCTTTCTCTCTAGACCCAGCAGCGCCCTCCCCTCTCTCCTCTCACTAAAGAGGGTCTGCCTCTTCTTAGACCTGGTGAAGACCACCAAGATGGCTTTCTTCTGTTGAGGCCTGCCGTGCCTGTGCAGGCCCAGAAGGTGCAGGTCCAGCTCCCTCTCTGGGTTGTCCAGCATGGCCCTGAGCTCCAGACAGAAGTGCTTCCCCTGGCTCAGGTGCTGTTGCTCTTTGAATATTTCCCACACGTCCAACACCTCCCACTTCGGCCTTTGGGAATCCTGCAGGTCCAGTGTTTTGGAGTCGAGCAGCTGCTGGTCGTGGCAGGAGAGGAGCTGGATGTCAACGGGCTCTGTTTCCGATATCCTGAAATTCCCAGACACTTTGGTGTATATCCTGAGCTCGGCTCCCAGCACCTCCGCTTTTTTGGAGAGGGTTGAGACGTCGAACAGATACTGCTGTCTCCTCAGAGGCGAGAGTGGGAGGTCATCTGTGGAAAGCATTAAAACAGAAGGGTCAGACGCATTCTCACGGAGATGATGTGCATACCACAGAGATGTGGAATCTGACAGGAAAAATCCCACTATTGTCTGCACTGAATTAATCTGGGAGAGAAAGTATGAGTCATGGGTCAATCAATCCTACCTACCTGCACCAACACACACACACACACACTTATATATACAGTAAAGCTCCACATACCTTGTCCAATGTCCACAAAACTTGCAATAGTGTTTGCAGCTTTTGAAGACCGAAAGAAGCTGGCGTTGAGTCCCAGTCTCTCCGCCGTGGAGAAAGTCTTGTAAATAGACAGCATGTAATCATGAGGCTCAATCAGCTCTGTAGATGTCGCTTTTTTGTTTCTGTCGATGGATGGCGGCGCGTAAAACTCCTTGAAATATTTAGAAGCTTCTTGTCCATCAAAAATCCTCGCCACCTTGCTGCTCTTCGGGGCAGCTGGAGGGAAAATCACAAGAGTCTGACAGCAGGGGATTTCCCAAACAAACGCAAGAGCCCCGCAGAGAAAAGTGAAGTGATAGAAATCCATCCTCTGGTCTCGTCCTGATATCAGAGCCGGAGCCTGAGCTGTGGCCGGGCGGTGGGGGGGACCACGGGCATCCACTGTGCAGCAAGTGGCTGCTCCGCAAAGTGCGCACAGCTCCGGGAGCAGGACAGGCGGTGCAAAGTTAAAAAAGGGGGCGAGAACACGCCCACATTGTACTGTTAACGTTGAGGCTAAATGGAGGGCGCAAATTAAGGCTGTAAAACTAATTGTTCCTCTGTCGGCCGTCGCCTCCCTCCTGGGAACACAGATGTGAGCTGAAAAGACGCTCATCAGCTTCTGCTGCGTTTGCTGATACTTTTGGATTCCAACACAGAAAAACCTGCTTGTGCAAAACCAAAATGGCTCTTAATTTAGAGTTATTTGTCTCCATTTTGGAAGTTTTTTCTCTCTGTTTAAGGACGACTTTAAATATCCCTGCAACTGAAATTGAGTGAGCATGAGAGCATGAGTTTAGGATTTACCACGGAGTCTCCTGCCCTCTAGTGAAGCGCAAACATATTACCCTGGTTTAAAAAAAGAGTTAAACATTCAGCCAATCAGCTTCCTTCAGCACCATGGACAGCACAGCACAGCGATCAGAATTAGTCGGTTATTGGATTAATAAAAGGAAAACACGCAATAAAGATGTTGTTTTAGTGGATGTGAATTTATTGAAAAGAAAATAAAGCTTCAAACAATCATTAACAAAATACAAACTTCATGTCTTCCTTCACCTTGTTACAGATTCAAGGTAAACCCTATTGCACCTGTTTTAAAATAGAAAGTCTATATGGGTCTTCATATCATAAGACATTTATGTTAATCATAACAGACATTTACATATAACAAAACCAAAGAACTCAAAAAACAAAAAACAGATGGAGGGATAAGTGCTTTAATTTGGCTCATTGGTTTTCCTCATCAAACTTTTAACCCCACCCCAATAAATCTGTTTAACTTCCCAAAAAGAAAAAGAAAAAATACACCATTTTCATAATATTATCAACAACTACATTCCTTTCATTGAGCAGACTTGTTCAAGTTAAAGTGAATAAATGTTGAGATATCCTTCATAAAACCCTCTTAGCTTCACAGAACTATCTAACATATGGGGGTGCTGTCTGAGCAGCAGGCTACAGCGTAGATAATGCTGACCAGACACAGACTGCCTGCAGCCACGGCAGAGCCGCTGCTGAAGATGCTGTCGTCGGTGGTCTGCGGTTCGGCTGTGTTTAAGGTGACGTTGCTGCTGGTCGTCGGGGCCTCTGTGGTTGGAGTGCTTTTCACGGAGAAGCTGCGTGACTCAGCGCCCCACTCCTTCAGAGTAAAGGCCATGGTGAGGTTCTCACCTGCGGGGAGAGGAAGAGGAATTGTTTGGTGATTCAAATAAAATAAAAAACAAAAAGAGTTGGCACCTGGGCAGTAAACTCATTTTATCTGAGAGTAAATTTGTTTTTACTGGTCTGTAGGATTCATTTTAAAAAAGACATACCGTCGTTGAGAATGGACAGGTCGGTGAAGTTTGCCCAGCAGGTGCTGAACAGGATGGTGGTGTTTCCGTTCAGTCCATCTATGCTGTTCCCGCTGGAGTTTTTCAGGCTGGCTGTTACAGTTAGACTTGTCACTCCCACATAGACACAGTTACCCTGCAGACAACAACACAGGTCAGCCTTTACAGACAGCAGCTACATCCACATAATGTTAAATCTTCTGCTGTGTCTCTCCATATTTGATTATTTACCATCCTATGACTTTTACTTTAAACCTGAGCCCATTTACATTTAATAATAGGGTGAATAAAGTTTCATTTAGAGTTATAAAGGCCCAGTAGGCAGCTTCTAAGATTAAACATATTTTGAGCATTTTTGGAGCAAAAAGCAAACAAAAATCTAAGAGATAAACAAAATAATCAAGCACACAGCTAAAAGAAACGCAGACAACACACTAAATCAACAAAAAAAAAGTGGTGTAGAGCAGTTCACATTGGAGCAGTTTAACCTAATACGACAGAACAGTAATATCCAATCCTGAGCTGCTATAAAAGCCCATTTTACGTCCTTTCTCTGCCTTCACAATATCAGATTTAGCAGCAGCCATGTGTGGAGATGTATCATTGCCTTACCTGCTCATCCACAGCCATGAGGCTGGGCTGCTGGTGCAGAGGACCCACAAACTCCCCAGCTATTGGATCCACCATGAGTAGCAGTTTGGCCACGCCGGACACAAAGCTCACTTTAGGCTCCTCCCTTGTCACTTCCGCTGTGGCCTCCTGAGATTTTAGAGCAGAAAACCATCGAACCAGTAAGCACTCATGTGAAATGACACATAATTTCTTTCAGCGTAGTTTTTATGAAGCAGACATCGATATGATTAAGTCTTGTAATCACCTTATTCCAGTCGGGGTCAGATGCTGGAGGAGGAGGAGGGATGATGCCCATCGAAGACACGTTGAAGCCGATGGACTGACTGAGGTTTCCGGAAACTGCTGCCTGACCCAGATCATCAGCAATGCTCTGCAACAAAACAAAGTCCTCCTCATCTGAGAGGACAAACGGAACAGAGAGATGTTATATGTAGGACTATTAAAGGGCTGGATCTGAATTTATAGCCCAATGTTCACATGTTCACTCATATTAGATTCCTCCTCCCACTGACCATTGGTGCTGTTGGTGGTTTGCTGGACTGGAGGTTTCTTAATCTCCACCTCCACCGTCAGGCCAGTGGATCTCTTCCTGCGTCGCGCGCTTCCATCCTCCCGGATGATCTTGGTGATTCGGATCATATTCGAGGGAACCTTGAGGAACGTAGCGAGGTTCTGGACCAGGCTGTCTCCGAAGAACTCATCCTCTGTCATGGCGGGCAGCTCGAAGGCCAGGAAGAGAACCGGGGAGGTCCGGATTTCTACCGGTTTGGATCCTCTCACCAAGACCTTCAGCATCTTGTTGTCCTGGTCGAAGTAGTTGGTTCCCAAAGTGTCATTCAGTTGGGGGAAGTATTCACCTGGAGGGATAAAAGAAAGAAATTACAAAATATGATACTTATATTGATACAGCTTAAAACAAAAAAAACAGTAAATCTCATTTTACTAAAAATTTGACTCATTTATTATTGATTGCTTTAAATGCAGAAAATCAGGCAGCAATGAGTATTTGTCAGTTACTGTTGCTGCTTTTACAGTACATACAAATTAGCAAACAAACCATTCTGACAGATTTCCTTATCACACATACAAACTCCTGCATCCATCACATACATAAAGCTATAATTTGAAGGGAAAATTAAAAAGAAGACTGTAATATCATGCTCATTTAGTGGGCATTCATTTTGAAAAAACACATCATAAAAGATGGTCAGATCTTAATAGAACTTTCTGGTTGAGCCAAGAGTAGAGTGCTGTTCAAGTTTAAGACAAAGATGAGCTCCATCTGCAAAACCAAACTAAATTGAATGCAATGAAACATGCCCAAATCATGTACATGTTCTGGCCTATTCCACATATATGACTGAACTTAATAGGAGATTATAGTGTACAATAGATACTGTTGGCCTTAACCTGCTTTATTGCCTGAACTGATTTAAAGTCACATTACTATTAACATTAGTACCTGCTACGATGGGCTTATTCAGGGTGTAGTCAGTTTCGTCAGCGTTCCACTTAGCGTTAGTCGGAGCAACCAGTTTGTTGTCAACGTACACATCCAACCGCTGCGGCTTGGAGTAGAAGACCGACACCACGACGCTCTGCACAAAGTAAAAAACAAAAGATGTCTCAGTGAAAAGTGAAAAAAAAAATAACTGAGGTGAAGCTAAACTGAAGTTTGATTTTTAACCTGAAATGTCTTAATGTGTGTAATATTTAGAGCAGAGAGGGTTCTCCAGGTTGTGCACTGACCTCAGACGGATCAGCGTTGAGCATCATGAGGCGAAGTTTCTGCGGGCTGACGCTGGAGAAGTAGACGTCGAAGGAGTGACCAGTGGCCACGATGCTGTGGAAGAGAGACACTCTCTTCTGGCAGGTGTAGCCTGAACACCAACCTTGATCCTGAGGACCTGGACACAAAGGCACACAACTAAATTAAAGAGGAATTCTGTTGTTTTTTTAGAGAGATCATTCAGATTTTTCTGTAGAAATCGTCATACCGTTAAGAAGATCAACAAAGCCGTCTCCGAGGACGGCGACGGGGGACAGACGTCTGGTCTCTGTGTCAGAGTCAAGACTTTCGATCACCAGCATCCTGTAGCTGAGCCCGAAACACTTGTAGCTCTGCCAGGTACTCATATACGTGCAGTTTTTCCTGATCACACCTAAGGACAAATGAAGCAACAAAGTTATTGTGGAGATTAGTTTATTTTCTAATATACTCGTCCACAGAAGGGTCAAACAGGACAGTAAAATGTGCACTTTTAGTAGCTATTATTTATTTGGGGAGACTGATCTTTTTTACTCCCTCCACTTGTCCAAGTTACCTTTGTGTGGAGCGATCTGGTCCACAGGGATGCGGCTGCCATTGGGGAAAGTGAGCATGACTTTGGGGATGCGGTAGTCGCCCAGCCCCCTCCTGGGATCACCTCCCCACTCATACTCAGACTGGGGCACCACAGTTCCCACTGCACCGAGGAACGAGCCATCCAAGTCCTTCAGCAAGCTCTTCTTCTTCGCATCGCAGTCCATGTCCACACAGTCAGATGGGTTCACTTTACTGAGGAACAAATACATGAAGTTTATTTTAGCATTCACAACTCAAAATATGAAAATGAACATTATATATATATTAACAGTATCTGTTGATGTACAATTATTTACCCTAAATCAGCCCTGTGGATGAAGACTTTGGCCCCTTCTGTGCTGTCAACTGTCCTTATGCCTGAAACCTGCACAGGGTGCTGCAAGTCCTCGTTGATCGGGTTGGTGATAAACATGAAGTTCGTCTCGCTGGAGCAGACGTTACGGAAACCCACGAATGTTGTGTCTAGAAAGAAAAATGAGAGATACGGAATAAGTTCTTCTTTAAATCGTTGTGAAGATTGTTTCCAGAATGTCACTAAAGGATCATAAAAAAAAAACACTTTGGTCCTAAACCTCAGAGTCTGAACTCACCGTTGACTGTCATCAGTCCTTTGATGGCATTGTAGTTGTTGTTCACATGATGAGGCTTAGCTGGAGCGGTGTTGTGACTAGACCCAAAAGTTGGCCAACAGAGTCCAGATCTGCCACCTGTACAGAGTAAATAAAGATGTTCAGTTTAACCAGCCTGCATTCAAGTGGAAAAAATGATCAAATTCTACCACTTCTCAATGGAGTTCAAGTTCTTGGTGGTCAAACACAATTAGAACCTCCTTTTTAATTTATTCACCTAACAATAAAATGAAATTAACAATAACCTTATACACAAACTCAATGAATAAATCCTCATAACAACACAGTAGTGTAAGTGGTTTTTTGGCACTGTACCATTGAGAGGTCTCGGTGCTCGATGGTCCTCACTGTTGACAATATTAAAGTCAGTGGCGGGCACAGTGTCTGAACAGTTGAAGCTCGGACTGCTGCCAACAATTAAGGCATTCTGGGAAGAGATGAGCCAGAGGAATATGAAATCTGTTTACTAGTATATAACTAAATGATATGTGATAAGTATGAAAGGAATAACTAAGAGAGCAAATATAAAATAAACCTTACTCACCTCAATATGTACGCTTTTATCGGCGTATGTGTGGGAGACCGATGGAGGAGCGTAGATGAGAGGCATCACACCCAACCCGTTGTCCACCAGCGTCACGTTGGAAATAACAATATTCATGATGGTCTGTGAGAGGGAGAGGAAAAAGAGGAGGATGGTGATATGTTCTATCTAGATTAGGTTATTTCTTATTTGCTAAGGAATAATAAACTCAGCTCTTATAAATCTGTACGGTGAACAAAACTTAGTGATATGGAGAATTATTATTTGAGTAAGCAGTACACCCACATGTATTTTAAAAAGACAGCAGAAACAGAAAAAACCTCCGTCACTTCTTTTCAGTTACACACAGACTGTAAATGGTGGCAGCGTCACGTTTTGTAAATGACTGTTGCCCACAAACTGCAAATAGATTTGACAGACTTTTGCAAATAACAATATATACAATATACAATATACTTTAAAAATATACTTAAAACTCTTCCAAATGGCACTAAAACACACTGGAATCACTGTATCTTACATTACAAAATATTTATATTGCATTACAGATAGGACGCTTCATCTCCCTGTCATTGTTTTTTTTGGAATCAAAGTGATCGGTGGTGAATTCAACGGGCAAGCCGAGCCTTCAGCCATGGGGAGAGGCCCCCTTGTGGCAATTAAAAATAAATCAGTAAAACAATATAGGACTGTAAGTTAGCGAGCTACCCTATAATGGAAATTCACTACAATAAACTTAACTGAGCGTTTTTTTATTGTGATACATAATAATATATTGTCCCATCCCTAGTGGAAAGGCAAATGATGATGAAGTCTTTGGTATAAAAGTGCTTATATTAAAGTCCTTCTGGATCTCTAGTTGCTCACTTTGCTCCGTGTATCTGTTCTCTGTTGTTGCATATGGTTTTTACTTTTCCTGACCCTTGACCTCAGGTTAGCTCCACACTGTTGTCTCTTGTTGCAGTCAAATTAAGTCACAACATTGTTTTTGTGGATGAATGAAGCACATAAACAAACTGTGTCAAGAAATACAAGAACAAGTCCAAAACATAGTGCCTAACCGGAGAAAGTGATTTGTAACCAAAACCTCGGATAAGTGAGATGTATATACATCTCTCAGTCTATTCCCATTGCTGGCCCACTACATGGAGTGGATGTGCAATGTACCCCCGCTATGCTCCAGGACTCGAAAAGGGTAGTTTTATTCATTGCCTGGTCCCTGCTCCCTAGCTCAAGCGTTAATCGCAAAACAGTTTTGACGCTCACCGACCGATGAGGAAGGTGAATTTAGTAACGGAGGCGCACGGCCGGAACTGTCATAGCCTAGTGGCCTGATCTTATATGAAACAAAGACGTTTGCCTGGCTGCCGAGCCTGCACCGGGGCTTTCGTTTCATCCTTGGGTAGGACTTTGGACCTCACTGCATGTACTTCCATTTGATGTGTGCATAGATGCCTAACTATA